AAATAAACCCCTACATTTTTGATCAAGTGATTTTCAATGAGGATGCCAAGACCATTTAATGGGGATAAGTCTTTTAACAAATGGTGCTGGAAAGAAACTGAATCTTTATCTAACAAATAAAAAATTTAACTTGAAATGTATCAAGAATGAAAATATAAGACCTAAGACAACAAAACTCTTAGAATAAAAAATAGAAAACAGAATAGAAACTTCACAACCCCAGATTTAGCAATGATTTCTTGGATATGACACCAAAGGCACATATAACCAAAGAGAAAATAGACAATTAGGACTTCATGAAAATGACCTATAGACTGGAATAAAATATTTGTGAATCATATATCTGGTAAGAAATTAATACTAAGAATATTTAGAGAGCTCCTAAAACTCAACAACTAAAACCTCAAGTCAGAAAGGCAAGGGACTTGAATAGACATTTATCAAAAAAGATTCAGAAATGTCAGTAAGTACATGAAAAGATGCTCAACATATCATCAGGGAAATGCAAATCAAAACTACAATGAGATACCACTTTCTATCCATTTGGATGGCGACCATCCAAGTAAAAAAAAAAGTTGGTGATGTAAAATGGTGCAAGCTCCTGTGGAAACAGTATGGAGTTGCCTCAAAAAATTAAAGACAGAATTACTATATGATCCAATAATCACACCCAAAAGAATTAAAAGCAGTGTCTCAAAGAAATATGTATATACCCATGTTTATAGCAGCATTGTCCACAATAGTGAACATGAACATGTGAATAAATAAGCTGAATGTGGTATATATATTTTTCAGCTTAAAAAAAAAAAAAAGGAAAGTTCTGCAATATGCTACAACATGGATGAATCTTAAGGACCTTACATGAAAAAGGACAAGTATTAAATGCTTTACCACTGAACATGCTATTATTATTAAGGTTATTTATGACCCCAAGTCAGTGGTCAGTTCTCAGCCCTCATCTTACTTGGCACTGTTGGGAGATGTTTTGATTGTCACAACTTTGGGGGACAAAGAGGAGGAGGTGGCCTCCAATGGGTTCAGGCAGTTAAACATCCTGTATACACAGGATATATAGGTCTCTCTTCCATCAATTTTTGGTCCAAATGTTAATAGTACTTCGGTTGAAAATCTGATCTAACCAAAGGGGAGGAAGGAATCTATGCAATTAAGACTGTTTGGATCTGGGAGAAGAAAATGATGCAAGAGTAAAAATTAAGATTTCAAGCTGAGTTGATAAAAAAAAAAAATGGTGGTATCATTAATAGATACCCATAAAGAGGATGAACAGGTAATGGCAAGTAAGATGAGACTGAGTTTTGGAAATAGATACTTGAAAATACATCCAAATAGATATGTAAATTCTATGAAAAGACAGCTGGACAGATATACAGACTAATATAGACAGATGACAGATAGATCTACAGATATATAGATTTGACAGTTGATAGTAAGAGTCTTAGGGCAGGACCCAGGGAGAAGAACCTGCTATTAGAAAAATATGGACAGGCGTTTTAATTTTTGGAAATAGTTGTAATGAGTCAGATCTGTGTTTTAATCTTGGGCCTGTGTTAAGTCATGTAAGTTTGGAGCCAAGTTTATTTAACTTGTATCTTAGTTTCACGATCTTTAAATAATATTTTAAGCAGAATCATCCATTCTCCTAAGTACCCTATTACCTTATGTACTCATTTTATATTTCTCCCTGTCTTTGTGGATATATTGATATCTCTTGTATCTCATTTTAACATCCATTTAACATGTCCATCTGACATACCTATGTTTTGTTCTACAATACTGTAGTCTTTCTGACAATAATGTAAGATTTAATTATAATATAGTAACAATTCTAAATATTTTACCAGTCTACTTGAAATGACATGAGCTAAAGCAGCTTAGAAGGTGAGTCCCAGCTCTACCAACCAAGTTTTTACTGTTCAAGCTCATAAGCCTCAAATTCCTCACCTATAAAAACAGGTATAAATCAAAGCTATGTGGTATTGGCATAAAAACAGACCCACAGATCAGTGGAACAGATTGAGAATTCAGAAATTAACCCATGCACATATGATCAACTAATTTAACACAAAGAAGCCAAGAATATAGCTTCTTCAATAAACAGTATTAGGAGACTGGGCAGCCACATGAAAAAAACAAACACACACACACACAAAAAAACCTGAACCACTATCTTATACCATATACAAAAATCAACTCAAAATAGATTAAAGACTAAAATAAAATGTAAGACCTGAAAAGCATAAACTAGGAAGAGCTCCTACTTATCAGTCTTGATGATCTTAAAAAATTTTTATTTCACACCAAAGCAAACAAAAATAAACAAGTTGGGCATATTAAACTAAAAACCTCCTGTACAGTGAACAAAACCATCAACAAAATGAAAAGGTAACCTCTGGAATGGAAAAAAATATTTTCAAATTATATATCTGATAAAAGGTTAATATCCAAAATATGCCATACAACTCAACAGAAAACAAATAATTCAATTAAAACATGGGGAAAGGATTTGAATAAACATTTCTCCAAAGACATACTGATGGCCAACAGATCCATGAACATGTGCTCCACATCTTTTATAATCAGGGAAATCCTAATCAAAACCACAATGAGATTATCACTTTGCAACTTTTAGAAGGGCTAGTACCAAAAAGAGGTAAGTGCTGGTAAGAATGTGGAAAAAAAAGGAACACTTGATGCACTGTTGGTAGGAATGTAAAACGGTGCAAACAGTATAGAGGCTCCTCAAATATTTTAAAACTAGAGGCCCAGTGCACAAATTCTTACACATGTGGGGCCTATCTGGGGCAGGCCTTCTGGGAGGAGACAGAGTAGATTGGCCAGCTGGAGGGAGGGGCCGTGGGCGATTGGCTAGTGGGTCCCGCCCCCAATTAGGGTGGGAGGGCCAAGTGGGGGTTGGGCCAGCCGTGGGAAGGGTCTGTGGGCAGTAAGCCGGATGGACCTGCCCATGAATGGAGTCAAGGGGACCAAGCTGGGAAGCGGGGGGGGGGGGGGGGGGGCTCAGTGGCCCAGGGAGGTTGGCTGGCCAGCCCCACCCAATTGGTGTGGGGGGGGGGGGGGGCAATCAGGCGTGGACCTGGCTGGAGAGTCTGTGGGCTAATTGGGGTGATAGGCACTGATCAAGGGTGGGGCCAACTATGGAGAGGGGCTGTGGGCCAATTGTGGTGGGGTGGGGCCAGCCCGCAGCAGGGACTGTGGGAGGTTGGCCAGGCAACCCCACCCCCCGATCGGGCAGGATCGCTGGCTGCATTGGGTGTCATAGCAACCAATCATTATAGCATTTTGGTTACTGGCTTTTTATATATATAGATAGAACTGCCATATGGATATAGAATCCAAAAGAGCAGGTGAGGAAGAAACTGAACCACTATCTTATACTGGTATAGTGTTCATTGTGGCATATTCACTATAAACATTTTGACAAAACTTTTAAGTGTCTGTCAATGGATGAATAAATGGAAGATAATACACATACCTACACACACACACACACACACACACACACATGCACGCACGCACAATTGAGTATTATTCAAAGAAAGAAGGAATTCCTGTCATTTGTGACAACATGGATGGAGCTAGAGAACAGTGTTATGCTAAGTAAAACAAGTCAGACAGAAAAAGGCAAATATGCATGGTATCTATCACTTACATATGGAATCAAATGAATAGGTATAATAGGACCAAATTCACAAATATAAGTGCTATAAATGGCAATATTGTAATTCTTTATTATAGCGTCCTCTTCCCATTTCCTTGATTGTTTGGTAAACATATGGGGATTTCTTCTCTTAAATCTAGTGTCCACTTTCTGGCTTTCTCTTGTCTTTCCATGAAGGTAGAATTACAGACATGGTGTAAGGGTATTGTCCTTGAGCCCACCTTAATTTCCATATAATGGCATTATTCCATTATTCATCTCTTTTTCCTACCAACTTATTTACAAAGACTTTATTATATGCTAATTTTCCCTTTTCCTTCTTGCCCAATTTTTGTAATAATCTTTGTTTACTTCCCTCAAGGTAAACATATTAATACTCATACTTTAAGTCTTTACATGTATTTAAAGACTCTTTTCAGAACACAGTCTGGATCAAGTGAAGAATCACTGAACTTCCTACAGTAATTCATTAAATTTAAAACCAAGTTACAAACATTTGGGGTGGGGGGGTGGGGGTGGGGGCAATTACCTGAGATCTGTGGAGAATGTGTGTGCTCAGAAGTTTCTAATATAAGTGGGAGACGAGTAACAAACAGGATACAATGAAAAATGAACTATTTCTCAGATTCTAACTGGAGTTAGAGACCAGTGAGATGTTACCATCAAAGTATGTAAAAGTAATCAATTTCTTTAATATAACTAATATATAAACGTTAAGTACTAAATTCTGAAAATCCTTCATTTGCTATTTACATTTCTAATTTCACAATTTAGGTATTAGCTATCAGGAGCTATCAGACAAAAGTCAGGGCCAGCCAATTTATCCCAGTAAAATACTTGCACACATAAAAAGGTTATATAAATTAATTGTACTAAATATGTTATAACATAATCTCAATTTAGCAAAATAATCCTAAACAAAACTGTGGGGTCTGGAGTTGAGAAATTATAGGACTTTAAATAAAATTTAAAAATTAATTAGCCCTGATTGGGTGGCTCAGCTGGTTGGAGCAACATTGCATACACCAAAAGGTTGTAGGTTCCATTCCTGGTCAGGGCACATACTTAGGTTGTGGGTTTGATCCCTGCTCAAGATGGAAATGGGAGGCAACCAATGTTTCTTTCTAAAAAATCAATTAAAAAACAACAACATATCCTTGAGTAAGGATTAGAAAATTAATTAAAGCTGACAATTCCACAGATAATATTTGCATATGCTACATATATCATTCTGAATTGATTTTCATCATACCTGTGGTATATTTTCAACAATCAGATGCTTAAAAAATATATTGATATTTACCCACTGCTTCTTCTTGGTCTGAGAAATTAGTTGTTTGTGCTGTGTTGCTAGTTTCTTGATTTCCTCTACAAACTCTTCTTTACACTTTTCCTTTACTTGTTTACATTTTCTGTCCATCTCACCCTGCATATTGGCGACAGCCTTGTTTACAGCTTGTCTTTTTTCTTCTTCCATTTCAGAACGCAGCTGAAATGAAAAACAAGTTAACCCACACTATGTCAGGTCATAATTTTTTTAAAAATATATTTTATTGATTTTGTACAGAGAGGAAAGGAGAGAGATAGAGAGTTAGAAACATCGATGAGAGAGAGTCATCGATCAGCTGCCTCTTGCACAACTCCTACTGGGGATGTGCCCGCAACCAAGGTACGTGCCCTTTTCCGGAATCGAACCCGGGACCCTTCAGTCCCCAAGCCGACACTCTATCCATTGAGCCAAACCGGTTTCGGCCAACCCACAATATTTCAGGTCATAATTTACAAAGACCTTAATATATAGTTTCTACTTAAAGATGTACCTCTTCCCTTTATTTCACAAAGAGCTGTGAATATTTAGGTGAGAAATATTTAGGTATTGTTGATTGAAATAGCATAAAAGATATTATATTCCTATTTTTAGTGTTATTTTTAGTTTTAAAAAGCAGCTGTCTGGCTGAGACACTAGTGAAAGCAGCTAAACTGCTACCGGGAAAGACTCCCTCACAATGCCCAGGGGGCAGAGGACAGACACACAGTGTGGGCTCCTGACCTTTTCTAGAGCTTCTCTTACAACTCTTTCAGTTTCTCGCTTGTGATCAGACTTCATTCGGTCTTTAAAGTCATTGAAAATTTTGGTGTATTTGTCGTGGCACATGCTTTGACACACTCCATCACTGGTGGTCTGGGTGCTTCGATGCAGCATTCTTGGTGAAGAGGCACTTAACTTCTTGGTCTGAGTTGACACTGAAACCTTTTCGATTGGCTGAGGCAATGTGGGGATTTCCTGGCTGGAACTGACTGCTTCGGTTTCAGGCTCTGGTTCCTAAAGGTAAGGAAAGTCCCTCAATGTAAAACTAAACCGTTAGCTCACTAGTTCAAAAATAAGCTCTATCAGGATAAATCAGTGATACACATCAATAGCCATATAAGAAGCTGTCTTTAAAAAAACACATGTAATTAACAGAAAGTACATGCTATTAGTTATATTTTGCCACACTTAAATGGGAAAAAATGGAAAAAAACAACTAAAAACTCATGCAATTAGTGCTACAATGGTTCTAAACAATAACTTCATCTACAATTTCATTACATGTTAATACTCATTTGATTTTAAAAAACTAAACAAAAACATTTATCATTTTAAATCATTAACAATTTATAGTCACTTTTTGGACTAGATTTATTAACAAATTTCTTAAAATCCTAAACCACTTTTCAATGAACATGTGTTTGGCCTATACCCAAATATACACCTGGATTTAAAACATGCATGAATTACCTACTTTAAAAGGTTGAGCTTAACCACAGTTTCCTCCAGTTTTAAAATGCTGGCCTAACTGATGTACTAGATAAACCCAATCCTATATAATAAAGATGTAATATGCAAAATGACTATCACTCCAACTCACAAGATGTCCGCCCCCATGTGGACATAAGATGGCCAGCAAGGAAGGGCAGTTGTGGGTGATCAGGCCAGCAGAATAGAGCAGTTGGGAGGGACCAGGCTAGCAGGGTAGAGCAGTTAGGGGCGACTAGGCCTGCAGGGGAGGGCAGTTGGGGGCAACCAGACTGGAAGGGGAGGGCAGTTGGGGGCAATCAGGCCAGCAGGGGAGGGCAGTTGGGAGTGAACAGGCCAGCAGGGGAGGGCAGTTAGGAGCAATCGGGCCGGCAGAGGAGCAGTTAGGTATCAATCAGGCTGGCAGGGGAGTGGTTAGGGGGTGATCAGGCTGGCAGACAGAAACGGTTAGTGGCAATCAGGAAAGCAGATAGGCAGGCAAGACGTTAAGAGCCAGCAGCCCTGGATTGTGAGAGGGCAGTCAGACATTCCTCAAGGGGTCCCAGATTAGAGAGGATGCAGGCTGGGCTGAGGGACACACACACACACACACACACACACACATACACACACACATACCCATGCACAAATTTCATGCACCAGGCCTCTAGTTTATTTAATAATACTATGATAACATATTAAAGAGTTCCAGGAAATGCCAAAACGTGCACACCCACTTAAGCCAGATTTGGTCAGTAGTTGCTTAATTGAGGTGGAGGCTTGGCATATGTGTTTTTTTCCAATGATAGTACATGACAGAAAGGTCAGAAGACTGGGTTCAAACTTGGTTGATATTATATGACTGATGGCAATGCCTTTCACAAGTACACATCACGAGCAATTGTCTTGACTGTAACTTTGAAAAATGCCTTCTGTGCCAATGCCACCAGGAAACTGCAAGGGGCACAACTTACTTCTTTTTTGGGTTCCACACTTTGATTACGTCGCCCTTTCTTTGCTCTTGGTTCCTGAGTGACCTTTAGCTGTGGGCATCATAAAAGTAACAAATATTATTCCAGACACTGAAACGCTTCTCTGCTGAAAATACTAGCTATGGACCCACAGGTAGGAAGTAACTCATTCCATTTCACAACGTCACATTTTACTCATTACTGCTCTGATATGCAGGGCTTGAAAGAGCTCATGTGCCTTTGGAAGAGCAGCAGTGCAATTAACTCTTCAAACAGGTAGGGTCTGATCAGGGTGTGGTGGCTTAGCTATTTGAAATGGGTTCGATTTCTTTCACAGAGCGAGCACTTTACAAACATTTACACACAAAAAAGGAGAAATGTCAGAGCAGTCTTTACAGTAACGAGTGTGCATTAACAATGTACACATTAAAAATAATAACTGATGTGCAGTTTCTATGTGGACACCACTCACTTGCTCATTGCTGGTAGAGGAGATACTAGATTCTGCCTCCTCCTCTCCACGGTCCTCATTCTTAGACTTCCAAAATCTTCCTTCACGAAGGAAACGCTGATGCAGTTCCAGCTCATCACAAGCCTTTTTCCAACCCATACTGCGTTTAACATGCAGCCGATGGACATTGACTGTGATGTCCTGTATGTTTTCAGAAGGAATCCAAGCCCTAGCAATATTTAAAGATATAGTTAGAAAATTCCAAAATGGTGGTGGACTCCATCCATTGTAAGGTATGGTTTGTAGAAATTCCAATTTACTGACTTGTTAGCTATGGTTTGAATAAAAATTCTTAGCAATCACTGAAGTGTCTCAAATATCTCAGAACTATTTTCTTTAACCAGCTTAACACTGTCAGGGTTTATATATAAATTCTGCATAAGTCCTTTTTAAAATATTCTCTCTTATTGATCTAAATACTGTACGTTACTTAAAATCTAGCTATTTACAGATTAAAACAGAATCATTTGAAAATGCCGATATTTTCATGAGATTCATACATGAGGGTTTCTAAAAAATATTATTCAGTGAGTTACATTTATATCACATCCCTATACATTAGCTGAACCATATTTAGTGAATAGAGAAGTGTCTAACTCATTCAGCAATGAAGTACAGAGCTATGAACACAACTTCACGTGTCTCTGAATTATGTGTAATATTGATCTAAAACTACAGAATGAAAAATGTATTTGGTTCCATTGGGAAAAAACGATGACAATTTTCCTGGGCACTATCATTAGATTGGACTGAAATAATATTGAGAATGCTCTTTACTGTGTGCTGGCGAAGGCACCACAAAGCATACAACAGTGAGTGAGGCCCATTTGATCTTGAGTATTACTGATACCAACAAAGGTATTTTGATTCACTTTTAAAAGCTATGGGTTTTTATAGAGATTTCTATTATAAACAATGCTGACTACCTGTAACAAACTACTGAACTGTGAGAGTATTTTCCCCTTAAATTATCTACTTGTGTCCTGGATATAATAAAATTAATTAATATCTATTCTTAACATGTGACTTAATTCTCAATGTTGTTCATAATACATTCTTTTTAAAATGTATTTTTATTGTTGCCAAAACCGATTTGGCTCAGTGGATAGAGCGTCGGCTTGGGGACTGAAAGGTCCCGGTTCGATTCTGGTCAAGGGCATGTACCTTGGTTGCGGGCACATCCCCAGTAGGAGGTGTGCTAGAGGCAGCTGATCGATGATTCTCTCTCATCGATGTTTCTAACTCTTTATCTCTCTCTCTCTTCCTCTTTGTATAAAATCAATAAAATATATTTTTAAAAATATATCTATATTTTTATTGTTGATAATATTACAGATATCTCATTCCCCCCTCCCACTTTAATCTCCCTCTTCCCAGCCCCTACACACACCCCCAGGTCTTCACTACCCTATTGCCCGTGTCCATGGGCTATGCATGTAAATGTTCTCTTTAATCAACTTAATTATTGTAGGTAATCAGATTTCACTTTTAAAGGTATCAGTGGGTATGTGATCTGATCTACAAAAAAATAACTGAAATGGCAAACAATTTAAAGTGTTAATAAACAGACGTATAATCTAATTTGGCTTTATCTATACATCTGCCAAACCTGATTCTTTGAATATATGCAGAATAAAATGGCTCAGGGATTTCATTCTATTTTTTCTTATAGGACCCGATTTTCTGGCTGTGCCACCCCAACCTTCAACTACATGCAGCAGAGTTAGCCTTGACAAGACCTTATCAGCTACTTTCTTATCCTTTTGCAGGCAAAATCTTACAAATCCCACCTACACTCTAAGGCAGTGGTCGGGAAACTGCAGCTCACGAGCCACATGCGGCTCTTTGGCCCCTTGAGTGTGGCTCTTCCAAAAAATACCATATGCGCACATACAGTACAATTGAAACGTCGTGGCCCATGCGCAGAAATCGGTTTTCGGCTCTCAAAAGAAATTTCAAACGCTGTACTGTTGATATTTGGCTCTGTTGACTAATGAGTTTGCCGACCACTGGTCTAAGGGATCACAGTCACCTTTCTTTCATAGAACATTACAGCTTACCAAGGTCAAGGAACAAAGTAGCACATTCTGTGTGTACAGAAAGGACTAGTCTAAAACCATTTATTTATTTAAAATTTATTTTTTTCACCTACCTACATGTGAAGATATGATGAACTGACAGAAGAATATTTATTGGATCATTACATAAGAATGAGAATGTATTTAAATACCATTAAACTTATACACATTAATGAAAACTTGCAGCTGGTAATCCTAATTAGCCATCTGTTCTTGTTGTATAACATGTTGCTTAAATAATTAAAACTAATGATAATATTTATAAAACTTGATTTCTAATAAATCAAATATTCTAATAATGATAGAGAATCATTTTCAAGGTGTTCCTTCATCAATCCTTCACTTCAAATATTTGTATTGGTCACACTGTAACCAGGAAAGGAAAAAGACTATATTAATAGTAAAATTGTAGATCTTTTATTTTCTAAAATAAAAGCTTTCGAATCCCATTTGCCCAGAATCATTAGATAAAAAATCTTAGAGAAAGTTTTTTTTGGGGGGAAAAACTTCTGAAAATAAATTTTATATATAATGAGGTCTTTATGTATAAAAATTTCTTTAAACATTATAAACTCCTATAAGATAGGTACTATTGAGTCCCCGATTTTACAAGTGAGAAAACAAGGCTGAGAGAGACTAAAGAACTTGCCCAAGAATACAAATGCAAGGATACAAATCTAACCACTGGACCTTCCCTGGTATCAATTTAGAGATTTCTACAGATCAGTGTTTCTACAGAAAGGCTGCCCTAACTCACTGTGACGTGTGCATTGCTTCCCCACTGGTTTTGATGGAAAGCTGAAACAAACTTAATATGAGCATGTAACATTGAAAATTATCATTTAATAGTCATACAATTCAAACATTCATTTTGTACTGAATTATGGTATTATTATTTAATGTTTCCTGCCATTAAAGAGGTGTCAGCTAAATGTGCATCTATCTATGAAAGAACAAAACTTTTTTGGAAATTTACACTATTCACAGATTTCCTAGAATAAATTTCTACTTAAATTAAATGGAGACTAGGTAAAAATTCACTACGGAAGGAATAAAGTCCTTATTCTGTAGCTTCTCTTACAGTAATAACAACTACAGGACACTTACCCTCCAGACATAATAGGAGATGGACACTACATGAAATGTAAATTTAAATCCTTGGACAGTAACTTAGATCAGGTAGCTGACTTTTGGCACTTTCTCTCTCTAATTTAATATCTCTGTTAAGTGAACCCCCCACAAATTTCATGTGAATTACTTTTCCTATTGTGGCTTGTTTAGACTCATTAGTCTGAGTCATATGACAGTTCACAGTACTTGAATTCACATTCACTTTTATGACACATTATTTAGGACACTATCTTAGACTTTCTGTGTTCAATGTGCAGTAAAATTTAAGGCCTCATAATAAAGGAGATAGCTATGGTTTAGCATTTTTTTGTGCCAAATAACTATAACTATACAAAAATAACTTTATAGTAATAAAGAGTTTTTACTCTTGGGATATATATACATATATTATTGTATTATGAAAATGCAAATTTTATGCGTTGCTATATACATATCCCTAGGAACAGAAACTTTAAAATCTAGATCGGAAACAGTGTCTGATAATTCTATGCATATAATTCTTATATATACTTAGACCACAAGATTGAAATTCTATTCTACCACTGAGTTGCTTACTTTTGTCTATGGCTTTTGAAAGATGGTTGAAAGAACCATAAAGTCACTGGAATACTATGAAATGGATACATCTTGAGAACCTTTCCCCTCTCCTCTGCCATCAGGAATTCAGTCCCAGCATTAACATGTCAGTTACTGAAACTATCTTGCTTAGTAAACAATATCTGAAATATACGTAAAGACACAATTGACAGAAATCATTGTTAGCTGCCTAGTCAAGTTATGTGCTGATTGTTTCTTAAGAAATTTCATGCTGTTTCTGATAAAGCCACGAAACACTGATAATGGCCAGAATGAATCTTGAGAACTGAGAGCTCAGCTACTACGGTTGCATGTGGGTCGTGATTACCTTTGATGGTGGTGACCGAAGAAGCGGACGTCAACCTGATTGTCCTCCTTCTGCATGACCTTGGCTGGCCAGAATCCAAAACCTTTCATCTTAGCCCAAACCAGTTCATGATTAGGTATCTGCAAATAAAACATTCTACCTTGTCATATTACTTCTGTAAAGTATTAAGTATGTCATTAATATTGAATTAGTTAAGTATAACTTACTATTTTGAAAACATTACTAAACACATAGAATTTGTTTTCTTTTTTCTGGTATTGACTGACTTTGCCTCCAAGAAAAACACAAAAAACTAAAATGTGCATTCAAGTAGAAATATGGACCTTCATTTCTGAGAAGAGACAAGAACAGTACTCACTATCCTGTAGCACTATGAATGAGGCAGTGGGGGCAAATAGAAGGCCCTCACTGTGTTTCATGAACCTGTTTGAAATGGGAGGATTTTAGGCCCAGATTCAAATCTAACTAATCAGACATTCAAATTTTAAAAAAACCTTCAAATAACTTCTGGAAGACTGAGTGCTCTCAGATGGCCTTTTACATCATGCCTTTGGGGCTCCCAGAACACTCACAGGTTTACACGTCATCACCCTTCCTGAAATCATCTCAGTTTAGGGGAAATTACACAGCTATTGACATATATTAAGCCTTCGGTTTCTTCTGAAAGAATGAGAAGAAAAGCAAAAATCTATTACATATATTAAGGGACTCAATGTCTTAAGTTCCTTGTTTTAAAGTCAAAATTGGATAACAATCCCAAGTTGTTTTTCCCATGTCTCAATTTTTACACTCATTAAAACCATGTCATATGATATAAATAAACATATTTAGGAAGGATTATAAACTTTAAGCAAACTGGAAATAAGCTTCCTTAGAGCATCATACACTTAAGAGGTAGAACACAAAAATCACAAAATGTCACATACGCAAGGATAGCAGAACCAATTGTCAGGACGAGCATTTGACAAATAGAAGCAGTTCTTGCAAAGCTGTAACTCATCCAGCTGAAAAAGAAAAACATCAATTTTAGCCTACAAAAAATAAAGAGCTGCATTAAACTATATAAAATTGATCCACATAAATTAACATTCTTGTTCATGTACACAAATAGCCTTGAGTTTTGTTCCTAAGCTTAAATTTTAAGTTTTCAGTAATATTGGAAAAGCCTGCCACTTCCCTGTTCAAACTACCCCCATGGTCTCCCACTGCATTTAAAAGAGAAGACAAATTCCTTACAAGGCCCGGCATGTCTGACCTCTGCGTTCCAACCCCACCGGTACCTTTGGCTCTTTAGCACTTGGATTAATGCAACTTCTTCAGTAAGGTCTTCCTCATCTACCCATATAAAACATCCACTGTCAGTAACAGCAGTCCTTACTTTGCTCTCTCTCCATTTTAGTCTTTGTTTTCTTTCATAACATTCTTATACAACTTATAAACATATTTTGTCTGTTTCTTATTTAAGTATTCCTCTTTAGCATTCAGATCCATGAGCAGAAAGCCAGCACCTTGATCACCATTTCATTCCTCCTAACACACTGCCCAGCACACAATAGACACTTAGTAAATATATATTGAATGAATTTTAAAGTCAAATTTGAAATGAATTTAAGAAACAAAACTTTTATATTATTGAGACACTTTTGCAAAAACAATATGGTTACAGGTGTTTCAAATAAGTAAGACCATATACACAAAAAACCTTCCCAAAATAATATTTCATTTACTATACAAATATGAACTGTGTTGTGTGGTGGTGGTTGTTGTTTTGCCTGTGTAGTATCCTTCATCCACAGAAGGAACATTTGTGTCTCTGCCCCATACAAAACATGTAATAATAGGTAATAATAACCTAAGGGTTAATTAAAAAAGAACACCAAAATTTCTTTGTAGAAATTACTTAATAACTAAATCTCCTAGGATGTCTCTGAAAATAGTATGCCAGAATTTTCTGCCTCTTTTTGAATTATTTCCCGTGGATATAAAAAATGAAAATAAATTGATATTTGAAGGAAACTGCAAAATTAAAATATGTAAGACCAGTGGAATTGTGAAATAAATTAATTTGGAATATAGTAAGAGTTTAATTATTAGGTATAGAAAGTACCTCATGACAGGTATCTTTATACAGCATCCTTGCTATGTCAGCTTGCTCACTGTCTGCTGTAATTGAAGACAGATATCCATTACCAATAATCTAAAATAGAGACTACCAAAATTAACACAATCATTAAAATTTTCTTTCGACAAAAGTGGATATATATCATTTAAAACAAAATGTGTATTTTTTTTTTAAAGTTCTGATAGCGAAATTAAATTCTACAGGCAGCTTTAATTTCACATCCAGCACTAATTCTCTAGGTATAGAGTGGCCTTTTTCTTTACCTTCAAATGACAGAATATCAATGGGAATCAACCAGAATTAATCACAGTGCTTATAAAAAACCTTTCAAAACTAAGTTTATAACTAAAACTATAAAAAGTAATACTTTGGCCGAAACCGGTTTGGTTCAGTGGATAGAGCGTTGGCCTGTGAACTAAAAGGTCCTGAGTTCGATTCCGGTCAGGGGCATGTACCGTGGTTGTGGGCACATCCCCAGTGGGGGGTGTGCAAGAGGCAGCTGATTGATGATTCACTCTCATCGATGTATCTGACTCTCTATCCCTCTCTCTTCCTCTCTGTAAAAAAATCAATAAAATATATTTTTAAAAAAAAAAAAAAGAATGGTTTAAAAAAAAAAAGTAATACTTTGATCATTTAATGTACTAGTGTTTTGCTTTTGGACAGTTAATTTTATAAGCTATAATTACATTACCAAATATTTTTTAAGATTAAACCATAACATTACATACTGATCATTAAATATTAATTTTAAAATAGTATTTTATTAAAGCTATTTCTCAACATAGAATATAAACGGTATGAAAAAAATGCAAAAGAAAAAGCAAAAAATATTCAACCTCCATAGAAAATCACTGTGTTGTGGAGAAGTAGCTGAGCATCAGCTTTGAACTCTTCATAACTTCGGTATTTCCCTTCATTCACTTTCTGCAGTGATTAAAAAACAAAATGGCAAGAGTTACTAGTAAAAATAATTTTGCAATATGCTAACATGGTTAGAGTATGGGATGCAGCAGAATTTTTCAGAATAACATCATGGCTACTCCTGGGTCCCACAATGTTGACACACCATATATCAGAGAAACCCACAACTCCAGTGCAATTAGAATGTGACAGTATGGTGTGTGTGGAAGATCTGCTGTCCTATAGCCACCACTGTCCTTACTACTGATGTACTAGAGTCAACTTAGCATCCTGAACCGCTTCTTCTTTAACGATGATAAAAGGTACTGCTAAGCTTTGTAAACAGTTAAAGCTTTGGCCAGTCAGTGTCACTGATAAGAACTTAACTACAAATTATAAAATGGGAGAATAAAAACTGAAGAAAAAAAACAACTGTTAGCCTCTCTGACATAACTAAAGAAGACACATTTATAATTCTAAATTGGAACTAAGCACTAATTTACAATCAATCTTCCTAATAAAAGCCTAGGTCCGAGGTTGGCAAACTGTGGCTTGGGAGGCCCCTGGAGTGTGGCTCTTCCACAAAATATCAAGGCCTGGCCGAGTCTATTTTGAAGAAGTGGCGTTAAAAGAAGTTTAAGTTTAAAAAATTTGGTTCTCAACAGAAATTTCAATTGTACTGTTGATATTTGGCTCTGTTGACTAACGAGTTTGCCGACCATAGGCCTAGGTGATCTTCACGCCTTCATGGCCTCATGGGAGGGGCTTGACGCTGCATGTGCGGCATGGAGCCTGCTGGGAGTCCTGCCTCCTCCCACTCCACATGCGGCCAGACCTGGGGGGTTTGGCCTTCTCTGCACTGTGCAGGGAAGGCGAGGCCAGCAGGTCCCCATGCAGCATGGAGGCCTGGGGATCTATGGCTCCAGGCTACCTCTTTCGGGCAATCCATCGAGGAGCCCCAGATGGGTGGGTGGATGGGGCCTACCTTTTTGGGGCGCTCAATCACAGGGCTCCAGCACTATGACAGGGTACAGGCCAGGCTGGGGACCCCAACCCCACCCCCAGTGCACAAATTTCATGCACCAGGCAACTAGTCCTAAATAATAAAAAGGTAATATGCAAATTGACCATCACTCCAACTCACAAGATGGCCAACCCCATGTGGACACAGATAGCTGGCAGGGGAGGTCAGTTGTGGATGATCAGGCCAGAGGGGAGGGCAGCTGGAAAGGACCAGGCCTGAACGGGAAGGCAGTTGGGGGTAATCAAGCCTACAGGAGAGGACAATTAGGGATGTCCAGTCCTGCAGGGGAGGGCAGCTGGAGGCGATCAGGCCTATAGGGGAGGACACTTGGGAGGAACCAGGCCTATAGGGGAGGACAGTTGGGGGGGACCCAGGCCTGCAGGGTAGGGTAGTTGAAGGTGTGACCAGGCCTGCAGGGGAGAGCAGTTGGGGGATGACCAGGCCTGCAGGGGAGGGCAGTTGAGGGTGACCAGGCAAGCAGAGAGGGTATTTGGGGGTGACCAGGCCAGCAGGGAGGGCAGTTGGGGGTGATCAGGCCTACAGGGGAGTGGTAAGGGGGGAATTTGGCTGGCAGGCAGAAGTGGTTAGGGCAATGGGGCAGGCAAGGCAGGCGAGCGGTTGAGGTCAGAGTACAGTCCTGGATTGTGAGAGGGATCCCAGATTGGAGAGGGGGCAGGCTGAGCTGAGGGACACCCCCATGCCCATGCATAAATTTCATGCACCAGGCCTCTAGTTAAAAAATAAAGGCCCAAGTGTTTCTTTAGGCACCAAAGCAGTATCAGGATTTTTCCTACATTAGAGTGCTCTATGTCAAGGATTTCCATAACTGAATTCTCTGCAGTTTTGCCTTTAGCTGCCAATGAGAAAGGTTAGGTGGGAAATCTGAGGGGTTTCTAGGATAAGACAAAATTTTTAAAAGGGAGTATGACAAATTAACTCAACAACAAGAAAGCATTTTCTTATCCTGGTGATATTTTTAGGAAATAGGTTTGAAAATTGCTTGGTTTCTAAATACTAAAATGTTAAAGCCTCTAAAGAATATTTAAGATCTGCCCTAACAGGTGTGACTCAGTTGGTTGGGCATAGTCCAGTGCACTGAAAGGTTGCAGTGTTCGATTCCAGCTCAAGGCACATGCACAGGTTCTGGGCTTGATCAGCTTGATCCTCAGAAGGAGGTGTGCAGAAGGCAATGTTTCATTCTCTCTCCCTAAAAATCAATTTTAAAAATTGAGATTGTAAAAAAAAAAAAAAAAAAGTTATGAACTGACCTTTTTGTTGAAATCCTCCAAAACCCAATTCAGTTGCCTTTTTTCAGAAGGCTTCCCCCCAGATTCCCCAGCTGAAGGTAGTTGCCTCCTGTCATGCGCCTCAGGATTTACTATATTACATTCCAGATGCTATTACCCGCTTTGTGATTTGTGAGGTATGCACCGAGGCTTGCATTTTGATCTAGGTTGTAGTGAAGCTCCTAGAAGCATAAACATCCTGTCTTTCTCTCCTTTTCTTACAGTGCTTTTGCTCATGACCAGCACTTGCCAAGCACAGAACCAAGACAGCAACCACCTATCTAGTGTCTTCTATGGAGCCAACAGGATCAAACTGGGGATCTGGGACAGTGCCATGCAGGAAAGGGAAGCTGCAGAAGCACAGGCAAGGGCAGGAAGGGCAACTAGTCAACATTCTTTCAGAGGCCTCAGTGTTTAGAAAAAGAGTCTATGTCTGAGGCTATGAAATCTGCCAATAGTAGGTAAAATTTAAATTGTTTTCATTCTAAGATTTGCCAGAACTCCAAGGTAACAACCATTATTTACTCTTTCCTTCCCTAGAAATAATACATCTTTAGTCTTTCTCAGGTTCTAAGGGATTAGGAAACCTGTAAGATAATTCCAAATAATTCCTGCAGTCTTCCTATAAGCTATTATAGCCAATCATAAGATTTTGAAATTTCAAAATTACACATAAATTACAAAATTAGTGATTCAGCAACCCTAACTAAAAATATGTCCTAAGTTCTAGGGAATTTTATTGCAATTAGTAATGAAATATTAACAAACCCAACAATCCTCAGCAAACATTGATAACATTAAGAATTTTGAGAATAATTATTTGGTTCAAGTTCATTTCATTGTTTCCCAAGACTCTAGATTAGCTCTATGCTCTAATTTTTTCCTTGAGAGAAACCCCCAAGAGCTACTGCTAAAACTAGGGACCTGTATCCAGATGTAAATTCTCTACATCTGTAGTATTACATTGACCAGGATTCCATCCATTTGCTTTAACAAACAAGTATTGAGAATTTACAGGTTGCTTAAAACCAGCCATGTTAAAAGATCTGGTTGTACCAGAGTGATCACACGAAATTTAAAACAACAGAAACGCGTATGTGGTGGCCACACCGAGCTGGTTTTAGTAAGACACCAAGCAGGCACATCATCCTCAAGAAGGAATGGCACCCACGATCATGCTTGCCTGTGATCTCTCATTCATCTGGGAGCCACGAGGTAAATGGAAAGCAGTATGGAAGGCCTGGCTTTACCTCTTGTATGGTGGGGACGTCGACCGCTGAATGCACCAGCCTCCGGTACATCGGGTGTTTGCTGTCCTTTCCCTTCTTATTAAGGTCTATAGCCTGAAAGGTCATTAAATACACCAGTTTAAATGTAGCTAGAGAGAGACAAGTAAAGCATCAATTTCTAAAGAAGTGTACTTTAGAACTTAATAGAGAAATGTACATGCCCTATATAGTTAAACATGGCATTCCTTAAGGTTTTGACAGAACAGTTATTTTGGAACATTCCATTTCATTTTAAACACTAATTATCAATGAAAATGTTCTGATAAACAAATTTTTAAATGTAAACATTTCTAATCCAATGCAGCTACAGAAATGTCAGTTCTAAAACAAAGACAAAAAAAAGCGCTAAAATCCTATTATAGAACTATTTACTGTACAAAAGAATTATGACAAAACTGCTCTATACACATTTCCTTGTCAGTCATTAACTTTAAAGAGTGAGACAGAGTGAAATCTAATTGGGAAGACCCAGGGGCAGGACTCACCCTCTCCTTCATGCGGGAGACAATGAACCTCAGGTATGTGCTCATCTCTTGTTTGTTTGTATTTTTCTTCTTGATGCTCTGTTAAAAAACAGAAAAGGCGAGATATAAAATCTGATCATTTATATGTCTATATTCATGTAAAAGATTATAGTCTGTTAGATTTCATTTAAAAAGTGCACTATTTCCAATATTTGAAATTTGTATAGCAAAAATAACATGTACTGTAATAAGAATTGGAAAAATCATGATGTCCTTGAAATGATACCTTAGAGAATTATGCATTTATTTCTTGATATTTTGAAACTTAAACCAATTTTCAGATTAAAAGAAATGACAACAATGATAATGTAATAATGACATAATATAGAATCACTTATTTTGATATACATTCATATATATTAATGACCAATGGCTGAAGTCCTTTAGGGTGCATTTTAAATTAGCATACATGCATGCTAACTTCCAAAATAACATTATTAAAAATCTCTGTCACTTATGAAAAATGTGCAGTAGTGAAGAGGCACACACCTACATATCTGTTTTAAAGTGCTATTGATCTAGTCTGTATAAATCCAATTTCTGTTAGTTTGGCCTAAAAGCTAATTAGGTTCTTCAATTTATCACTCAGAAAACCTAACTTCAAATGAAGAAGAAAAAATCCAGGATTCTATTTCTCTAATGTCCTTTCTAGACACCAAAGAAACAAAAACAAATATTCCCATTTCTTTAGCTAAGGTTAAGAAACCACAGCAGACACTGGGTCATTAGCATATGGCACAGCAGAGGACCAAGTAGGTCTGGGCTACCTACTAACAGATGCTTTAACTTTTTCAGGCCACTAGATTATAACTCCCAAAGAAACGTAAATGCAGGAAATCACCTTAATATGCTTAATACAGTTAAATTTCACATGTAACTGAGAAGTCTTAGCCAGAGCTTAAGCGAACTTATTATACACACAATGTTAAAATCCTATCCTATATAATCAAGGGGTAATATGCAAATCAATCGAAAGGCGGAACAAACGATCGCTATGACGCGCACTGACCACCAAGGGGCAGACACTCAATGCAGGAGCTGCCCCTGGTGGTCAATGTGCTCCCACAAGGGGAGCGTTGCTCAGCCACCAGCTAAGCTCGGGCTCATGGCTGGCAAGACCAAAGGTGGTAGTAGGAGCCTCTCCTTCCTTCATGGCAGCGCTAAGAATGTCCGTCAGTCAGACATCCCACAAGGGCTCCCAGACTGCTAAAGGGCGCATGCCAGGCTGAGGGACACCCCTCCTCAAGTGCACGAATGTCATGCACCAGGCCTCCAGCATATTCTAAAAGCCCAGCGACTGAATGGCGGAACCACCAAAACTACCGGTCAACCAGTCGCTATGACGCACACTGACCACCAGGGGGATGCAGGGCTGACCAGGATGAGAGGCTGCTCCCGCAGCAGATAGATCCCTGCAGGCCAAGCCCCCCATCAGTGCACGATCCTGTGCATTAGGCCTCTAGTATATAAATAAAACATAGAAAAACATTTTCTTAGCTGGAGACTGTTTCATGGGCTTCACATTTAAAATCACATTTAAAGTGACTTGCTCCCTCCACTTTTTGCCTGAATTCTTTGGCAAAATGCACATACATAGTCAATAGTTCCTTCCTTACCCAGCTTTATGATATGACTTGTGCACACATCTTCTAAATGGAGCTTCTTAAAATGCAGTTGGGCTTTACCTCTGAGCATCTGAGCTAGAATTTCTGGAGGAAGGTCCTATGCTCTCTGTATCTGCTTATTCACTCTGCCATTTGTTAATTCCTAAGGTGTTTGTGACATGTCCAAGACCAAGCACCAAGGGTGTAGATGTGGAGTTTAAAAGCTAATGACGTTTCTTGGACCCCAAGTTTATAATTTTGGGGGAAGAAGGGCTTTGATGTAGCTTGTGAAGTCTCGTTTTTCACAAGATCCCCAGTGATTCTCACACACACAAACATGTGAGAACTATTAATTAGCCCCTTCCATAAGCCAGACACAACAAAGAATTAAGCTCAGTTCCTGCATTCTGCAAGTCTCATAGTAGTGTAGAGGGAGTTCTCAGTAGGTCTGATGCACAATCAGCTATTAGCACTTTGGACAATGATTTTCAGCATGGACACCTTCCCACAAACTGCTTTTCATACTAAACAGTTTATTAAGCTTTTGGATATAGGGAAGAGAAAAAATAAGAAGGCCAAGAAAGCTGCTTTTTTCTTCTTGGAAAACCTATTCCCTTTTAAAAAAAAAAAGAGTAAAAACAATGCTTCTAGCTACATGCTCTATCACGTCAAATATTTTGGGTACAGTACTGAAACTGTTGATCTCAAATATCAATCTGATCATTAAATCATAAATTTGTATAAATTCTGATGTAATAGCAATGTACATAGGTTAGAAGTATTGCAATATCTGTGGGGCTATGGTTCTTTTGGTAGATAACATATTCTTTAGGGGAAATATACGGCCAGCACTTTATATAATGCTAAAGAGTAATGTTCCCTAAATATTGTTTACAGTCACCTGAGCAGTGATGATGAGTTCCACACTGTATCTACCACAACACAGCCCTGGGTCATGGGTTGCTGTATATTTCACATGTACACAGAAATATGTTTTTCTCATACCTGTGCTCTAAACACCAATCTATGAAAATTTACTGTTAGTAGGAGGCTAACCGCTTTTGTTTTTGAAACTTTAAAAAACAAACCAACTCAATATTTCCCTATGAGCAAAATTGATGCAGGGCTAGAATCAGAGCATAACTATAGCCAAAACATCCTAACTACATTGGTCTTTCTTTGTAACAAAAACACTGAAAGCACTTTCAATTGGTATGGAAAACCTTATTCTAATTCGCTTAACTTTAGGTAACTTGTGCACTAAATTGTTCTTGTTTAAATAAAGGTCCATTTTCAATTCCTACTTGCTTCCCACAGATAATTTATACAAAATATGGGCGCCATTATCTCACAATGCTTTGGTTTCATCTGTTTAAACACTCTTAAATGAACTGCTAAATTACTGCAACTATGTGCAAGCAGTATTTTTTCTTGTTGGGAAGAACGCAAATGCAGTGTTCGGCCTGAGAGCCTTAATTTCACAAATCTAAATGATAAATGTAGGATGATAATCTGTTTTTGTTTTCTTTTGTCATGTTTAAGTTTGCTTAAAGTAGCTGGAGTATCTCTTTTCTACTATGTGAATTAAAAGTGGTAATATGAACTTGGAAAAAGGACTATTTCATACAAAATGTAAAAGGAAACACAAGGGGGACAAGTAACTTCCATGGCTGAATAGATATGATCTACCCCATCCTTCACAGCTCCAATTCCTTCAAAATATTACTTCAGGAGGTCTTCAACCCCACTTAATAAAGTGCTATCCAGATTTATCTATCCCACTCAATGTTAATCAACTATGGCTGTTGAATCACTGGGAAAAACAACAATATCCACTTATATAAAATTGTGGAACAGGCACAATATCTGTGATGGAAAGTAATGAGGCCTTAGCCAGTTTCGCTCAGGGAATAAAGTATTGGCCCACAGACTGAAGGGTCCCCAGCTTCAATTCCAGTTAAGAGCATGTACCTTGGTTGCAGGGAGGTGACCAATCAATGTGTCTCTCTCACATCGATGTTTCCCTCTCCCCCTCCCTCTCCCTCTCCCTTTCCCCCTCCCTCTCCCTCTCCATCTCCATCTCTCTCTCCCCCTTCCTCTCCCTCTCTCTCTTTCTCTCTCCCTCTCTCTCCTTCCACTCTAAAAAACCACTGGAAAAAATATCCTCGGCAGAGGATTAACAAACAAAAAAAAGTAATGAGAACAATGGCTGTGAGGAGGATACAATGATCATGTTCTCTGCCTTGGTGGGACCTGGGTTTACAAGTGTATGTGCATTAGAAAAAGCCCCACAATGTCAAGGTGCCACCCTAGAGTCAGCTAACACTGCTTAGGGAGGGGCGTGGGCACTCACTGTGCCAGTACTCCAGGTGTTTCTAACAAGTGACTCTGACTGAGAACCACCGCCTGGCGTTATTAAAGAGGCTATGTATTTACACAAACAGGTGCAGTGGTTCCAACTGTAAACTTGGCTGCTACACTGAAAAGTGTCCTTCAAAAGTCCTTTTAAAGGGTTGCCAGACCTAGTAACTTTCTCCGTCTACTTGCTAAAACAGAGAGAAATGCTTCTTTCCTATATTTGTTCACTTTGCAGATACTGTACAAAAACTTTAGTGATTTGGGTTGGATAAAGGATTCACCAAAAGGAGTTTCACATCCAAAAAATTATTCTGTTGAAAACCTCTCCCACTTGTTTATTTTGAACAGCTCCCCAATCCATTTTTCTGGTGACAAATCTGGGATTCTATTGCAGACATAGGGCAAGAACTGAAATGCACACAAACACTCCGCTGGAAAATGAACAGCTGTCCTGGGGCACAGAGCTCTCTGCCCAGAAGCCTGCTTCCCAGACCGCGGGCCAGGGAGCTTCCTCAGCAAGCTGAAGCAAACAAAAGACCCTGAACAGATGCAAACCTCTCCCATCAATGTGTAGGGATAAAACATTTGCTTAAGACGCTTTCACATTTGCTAAACTTGTATGGGCTTTCTTTCTAGTTTCCAGTTACAATTCACAGATTTAGTATTTCACACAAGAAATCAACAAAGCATTGCAGCTTCTGCCCCAGAGCTGCATTATAAGACTTCTGGGGATTTCTAAGGTAATCTATAAGAGCTGCCTTACGTGACATTCACAATAGAGTGTCTCAGGTAATGTCTGTCAGCCAAACCACGCCCCTTACAGTAGCTTAAGAAAAAGCTATGCTAACAGAAAGTAAAGGGTTCACTTCTAAGGTTAAATGCTATTCTGTCTGTAACATAACTAAGCAGGCAGCTCTTCACAAGTTTGCCAAACATAGAAGTAATGCTGTGACAATCTGCAGATTCTCTCAGGCTTTGAAGAACTGTCTACTTACAGACTTCAGGACTCATCAGTGTAACAGCGTGCAGTTCAGACCCAGTAAAAGCCCAATAAAGTTCTGGTAACTGCTCATAACA